AAATGCATGTTATTGTTTATTTAGTACTGACCTGAATAAGATATTTCACATAAAAGAAGTTTACATATAGTCCACAAGAGAAAATAATAACTGAATTTCTAAAAATGACCCCATTCAAAAGTTTTCATACAGTACCCTTGAATCTTAATACTATGTGTCATTTCCTGGATGATCCACGACTGTTTTTATATTTTTTGATAGTTGTTTATGAGCCCCTTGTTGGTCCTGAGTAGTTCGACTGCCTGCTGTTCTTCAGAAAAATCCTCCAGCTCCTCCACATTCTTTGGTTTTCCAGCATCTTCTGCATATTTGAACCCTCTCCAAACTGTATGATTTTGAGATCCATATTTTCACACAGGACAACTGAGGGACTCATACACAACTATTACAAAAGGTGAAAACATTTACTTATGCTCATTTGCATGTATTCTATGCTTTTTACTTGGTTACAGTCAGTTTTTAAAAAAATATACCGTAAAACTGGCACAGATTGCCACGTTTCTAAGAACTTGATATGTTTTTTTTCTTAACTATTTTTCCTTTTTATCATCTCTGATATCCTTATCTGTCACCTACATATTTAGGGTTGGGGTTATTTCCAGTAAAAAAAAAAAAAAAAATATCAGAATTCATGCAAGTTGGACCTTTTTTGGACAATGAGTGTGACAGTTTGCTCTGTACGATGTGCACTGCAGATTATGCAGTATTAGTTTGTAAGGGTTAGGCCATGAATGTATGTGTGTATTTAAACACATTATGCAATGAGTAGAAAGTTAAGTTGGTATGTCATTAATCGTGTTTGTGTGTGAACTCGAACTCGTTTGAGTCTGATCTGCTGCAGTTTCTTGTGGCATTAAGAACAGCCAATTATCTCCACACACTTATTAAAATTAATGAAGTGTGTTTTAGCACAATAATGAAATGTTACCACAATTCCATAAGCCTTAAATGGGATCAAGCATAAAGGCAAGTGGAGGAGCGATTGTAATTAGCCCATATTAACATTAAGATAGTTGTGTTTCTGGCCCAACAGCCATCCTGCTTGTACTTGATTATTTGGCTTTATTCAGTTAGGAAGCAGTTGTCAGATGGAGCTGAAGGAGATTTGAAGGAAGTTTTTCTCTAAAACCTGCTAATAAAACAATAATGCACTAAACATCTGTAGGAAAGTAGGCCGTCGCCACTTCATACACATCAGGTGCCACAGAAGTATGTCATAAAAATTAATAACTGACAACATTCGTGCGTTTGCAAGGTCAAGAGTGTAATATATTGCCTTGTGTGAATTGATTTATCAGATCTGAGTTCCTCGATGGGACCTGTATGATAATTAGCAGTATTTTCTCTCTGACATATTTCATATTCAATGTCCTAGTTCTGCAGGCAGCGTTTGAAAGTTCAGGACTATTAGTCAGAAACTCACTGATTCTTCAGACGTGAAACACGTCCCGCAAATTTATGCGTAACTCTTTACATAAGGTCGCATTAGTTAATGCATTGGTTAACATTAACTAACAATGAGCAATACATTTGTTACAGTATGTATTACTCTTGTTAATTAATACAAATGCAACTGTTTAGTGTTAGTTCATGTTATCTCAGGTCCATATTATTAACAGATACAATTTTGATTGTAGTAAATGTTGATTTTTTTCCGTTGTTAGTTCATGTTAACTATAGTTAACAATAGTTAGTTCATGTTAATGTAGTTAACTAATGTGAAGTGTTACTCATTTACCTGTTATTAGTTATGAAAATGCAAGCATTTCTACTTAGAAATTAATTCAAGATTGATTCTTTATATATATATATATGTATGTATGTGTGTATGTGTATGTATATATATGCATGTGTATGTATGTATATGTGTGTGTATATATATATATATATATATATATATATATATATACAGTGCCGTGAAAAGGTTTTTGCCCCCTTCCTGTTTTTTTAAT